CTCATTTGAGTGAAACGTGATACTCCAAGCATAGCTCTTTCAATTCCTCTTTGGGAGACCCAAATAGAGTTCTCACCGTTTTCGTAAGGCCCGGGTCTCTGAGGTGTATATAATGCAGGAAGAGCAGTGGAATCGAAGAGATGTGCCTGGAGCTGGAGGCTCTTTGTCCTTTTAGCTATTTCTTTGACGCTCTTGAAGGCGCTCCAAGCTGCTCTCTTCCTCCTGTGCAACTCAGGTGCCTGATCATTCGTCATGTTGACTTCTTGACCTAGGTACACACAACTGTTGCATTCGGAGATGGTCATTCCATTGAGAGCGAAAGGAACATCAGGAATGAGTTCATTTTTCATAAACATTGTCTTCATGAGATTCAGCTGGAGTTCGACCTTTCCACACTCACGGTTGAAGTCGGTCAGCATTTGTGCCACTTGGCTAATATTTGGTGTTATTAGAACGATGTCACCAGTGAAGCTGAGGTGGTGTAGTTGTCAACCGTCTATCTTCACTCCCATTCCTTCCCATTCTAGTCGTCGAATGACATCTTGAGGGTGGCACTGAAGAGTTTTGGTAAAATGGTATCACCCTGCTGAACTCCTCTCGTGACATCGATGACCACTTCTTTGTAGAATGGTGAGATCCTGGTAATCAATCCGTAAAACAGCTCACAAAGGATCCTGATCTATTGAGTTTCAAATCCCTGATTGGCTAGGGCTGTGATGACCGCGTCTGTCTCAACAGAATCAAAGGCCTTCTTTAAAGACTACTTTAAACAGCAAAGTTTAACAAAGGAAATCACATACTAGAGTATCCTTAAGATTTACAGCAGTGGGCTGGAATGATAGCACAGTGGATAGAGCATTTGCCTAGCACCCGGCTGACCCGGGTTTGATTCCCAGCATCCCATATGGTCCCCTGAGCACTGCCAGGAGTAATTCCTGAGTGCATGAGCCAGGAGTAACCCCTGTGCATCACAGAGTGTAACCTTAAAAAAAAAAAAAAGGATTTACAGTAGATTTAGAGGCCAGAGCAATAGGCAGGGCGTTTGCCTTGCAAGTGGTTGACCCAGGTTCAACCCCCAGTATTCCATATGCTCCCCCGAGCACTGTCAGAATTGATTCCTGAACACTCAGGAGTAAGTAGGAGCATCACTGAGCACCCCCCAAAAAAGATTTATTGTAGATTTATTGAGCCAGAGTTCTCTGTGTACAGTGTATAAGCACTTACACACAGCCACCTGAGGTTCAATTCCTGGCAACCCATGTGGTCCCTGGAGCCCTCTAGGAGTGATTTCTGAATGCTGAGCCAAGAGCAAACCCTGAGCAACAACGGCTGTGGCCCCCCTCAAAATATAAGATTAAATGACACTCTGTGGGTCATAAGACAATGGTTGGATATAGTAATAAAAATCAGTAAAACAAATGCCCACCAAGAATACTTTATACAGCCAGATTTTCATTCAGATTTGAAGAAACGTTACACAACTTCATGAATAGAAGCTCAAGAACTTCATAGACTTGAAATCAACTTTTAAGAACTGAGGGGTCTACTTTAAGACAAGAAAAAATGGGAGCCAGAGCAATAGTATAATGGGTAGGTAGGGTGTCTGCTTTGCATGTGGCCAACCTGGTTTGATTTCTAGCATCCCAAATGTGCCTAAGCATAGTCAGGAATAATTCCTGAGTGCAACCCAGGAATAACCCTAGAGCATCAATAGATGTAGCCAAAATAAACAGACAAAAAAGGTACTTAGTTTTTTGTCTTTTTGGGTCACACCCAGTGATGCTCAGGGGTTACTCCTGGTTCATGCACTCAGGAATCACTCCTGGCGGTGCTTAGGGGACCATATGGAATGCTGGGAATCGAATCTGGATCAGACATGTTGGCTGCGTGCAAGGCAAACGCCCTACCCGCTATGCTATCGCTCCAGCCCCGTTTTGTCTAAGTTTTTGAAGAGTTAGGTAGTCCTTTTATCTGCCGTAAGGTACTATCTTGAGTGACCATTTTAAGAAGTTCAAGAAGGCCAAAAATAAATTAAGTCTATATCTTCTAAAGAATAGAAACACTGGGAGCACATCTTGAGTCTAATTTTCTGATAAGACTTTGTAGATTTGTACAGAGATGCCAAGAGCAAGAAGCTAGGCTTAATGCAAATTAGTCTTAGTCTTCCTTTCTAACCTGTATGCATGCATTCTATTTACCTTGCCTTATTAAACTAAGTAGAACAATGATAAATTAAATGACACAGTAGACATGGTTCTTTTTTAAATCTGGAATTTAGGAAATAGGTACTACTTTCCTATTGCATACAATCTTGATTACAGAGTTCTTGGTAGATTACTTTTTCATCATTTCCTTTTATTTTTAGTCTGCTAACTTTTTATATGGTTAGCTTGTTGGTTTGGTTTGATTTGTAGGTCACATGTGGCCATGTTCAGGGCTTAACCTGACTGTGCTCTCAGCTATCACTCCTGGCAGGTTTGGGGGACCATTGGGGTGCCCAGGGACCAAACCTGGGTTGGGTGCATGAAAGGCAAGCACCTTTCCCACTGTACTATCTCTTGAGGCCCCTTGTATGGTTAAAGTTTTGTCCAATGTTTTTTAAAAAGTAGTGGTCACGCCCAGCAGTGTTGAGGGAGTCTCCAAGTAAGGTCTAGAGGGGTATGCAATGGAATAGTATGCAGCTATCAGGAAAATTAAGTCAGGAAATTTGCTTATAATGGATGGACATGCAGTGTATCATGCTGAATGAAAGGAGTCAGAGGGAGAGGGACATACATAAAATGAGACTAGTACCCAAGGACAGTAAAAACAAGGCTCATGGTTGGAAGCTTTTCACAAAGCAGGGGTTGGGGGTGTGGAGGGCAGTTAGAGAGAATAAACCACTTTGACAATGACAGTTGGAAAAGATCACTATGGACAAGCACTGAGTGCTGAAAGAAGGTAAAGCCAAACCAGATATATATATAAGCAATTACTTTTGATATATACTAGGTAACTTTTCAATACCTGTATTGCAAACCATAATGCCCAAAAAAACAGAAAGAGCAAGAGAGAGAAGAAAAGTATCAGCCAGAGGCAGGCTTGTGGGAGGTGGTAATGGGAGGAAAACTGAAGATAATGGTGAAGGGAAATGTACACTGGTGCAGTGATGGGCACTGTATGATTGAAACCTAATCTTGAACAACTATGTAACTCTAATTCTCTTATCACTGTGACTCAAAAAAGAAAAAAAAAGGAAAAAAGGAGGGGTGCATGGTTATGTAGTGCTTTAAATCTAATTTGACACCACACATAGTAGGAATGTGCTTCAACATTTGAGTTGTTTCATAGTCCTCAAATGCTTATTTTTGGTTACTACACCCAGCAATGCTTACTGGCTGTGTTCAGGGATCACTTGCGGCAAGGCTCAAGAGACCATATATGGTGCTGGCGATTAAACCTGGTTAGCCATTTGCAAGGCAAGACCCCTATTTTCTGTATGATCAGGCCCATCAAATGCTTTTTATACTGGTGTTTTTGTACTGTTTTCCTCCTTTCTTGTCTTTTTGGGTTACACCTAGAGGTGTTCAGGATTTACTGCTGGCTCTGCACTCAGGAATTACTTGTGACGTTACTTGGGAGACCACGGGGAATGCCAGGGATCAAATTCGGGTCAGCTGGGGGAAAACACCCTACCTGCTTATTATAAGCTCTGGCCCCTGAATCATCATTCATTTTATCTCTAGAATCAATTTGTAATTGTAATACTTTTTGGGGTGGGTTCTAATTTGAGTATTTTCTTTTCTTTTTTTTATAATTTGAGTATTTTCATAAGAATGGCCCATTATTATTTTTGTCACACCCAGCTATGTTGACTGCTTACTCCTAGCTTTATCTCACTTAGGGATCACTCCTGGCAGGGCTCAGGGGATTATAAATGAATGAAAATGACTTTCTGGTATGTTCTAAAATTGTTTGTCATTGCATCACTAACAGTCTGCAAAGATTCCTTGAGTCAGACACTTCAACAATTTGTTCTGTAGTCATGACATTCAGGACTCTTATGACATTGTTTCAGAGTAAAATCCTAGAAATAACCAGTCGTAAAAGAATTTAAAACAAGGGTCAACAGCCGCACACTCTAGGGGTAAAGGCAGCTCAGACAGAGAAGGGAGCACCAAATAACGGGTGTTAGGAAGATCCGCCCAGGATGGGAGACGCATGCTGAAAGTAGACTATAGACCGAACATGATTGCCACTGAAGTCCTCTTTTGCAAACCACAGCACCCAAAAGGAGAGAAAGAACAAAAGGGAGTGCCCTGCCACAGAGGCAGGGTGGGATGGGCGGGCAGGGGGTGGGAGGGATACTGGGATTAGTGGTGGTGGAGAATGGGCACTGGTGGAGGGATGGGTATTTGATCATTGTATAACTGAAACCCAAGCACAAAAATTTGTAAGTCTACAACTGTACCTCATGGTGTTTTAATAATAAAAATTTTTTAAAAAATTAAAAAAATAAAACAATGGCCAAAAAGATAGAACAGTGGACAGAGAGCTTGTCTTGCACACAGCCCATCTGGGCTTGATCCCCCAAAACCCATATGGCCCCACCATCAGGAGTGATCCCTGAATACATCCAAATGTTGCCTCCCCTCCACTCAAAACAAACTAAAGAATTTAAAACATAAGCTGCTGATGACAATAAAGCACATATCTTGAATGTGTGAGGCCTTGGCCTCAATTCCTAGCAACACACACAGGACAAATCAAACAACTAAAACAATGCTTGCAACACTGACTACCTACCTGAAACAACTGAGTTTTTTTTTTTTTTTTTGCTTTTTGGGTCACACCCAGCGATGCTCAGGGGTCACTCCTGGCTCTGCACTCAGGAATTACTCCTGGCAGTGCTCAGGTAAGTAGTCTCCTTGGGGGAGGTTGGGGTAAGAAGAGTAACAAAACATAATAGCTGACTTAGCATTTATTTTAATATTTTGTATATTTGTACCAACATAAAAATAGTGTACACTCTTTATATCCATTTATTATAATAAAAATCCAAATATTTACACATTGAACCCGTAACATGCAAATTATACCACTTTAATGTAACAAATGATATTGTCTAGCTTAAAAAGAAATGTATCACAAATATTCAGTTTAACTGCAAAAGCTGCAGTTCTGATCCATTATGTTCTTCAGCCATTTATAAATGACCTTACCTGAACAACAACATTTATGTAGGTAATTGCCTTGTTTAAATTGGTATGGTTAAATATAAGCCTGCCTTTCCCTTTTTCAGGGTAAATCAGGCGCATTTAATCACACCTATCGAATGTCAGTCTTCAAATACCAATTTGAATGAGTCAATCAACAGATGGAGAAAATAGGTTTTATCAATTCAGTACTAATGATTATTAACTCCAGTAAGCTTTGGAATTCAGACATTTTTCCATGTTTATTTGCTGTAAGTTTCAGGTGTATTAGATATATAATAATAGCAATTATGTATACAATAACAGCACACCATCATTTTTCTCACTCTCGCGATATCTGTGTTCTGCAGTTTTGTTTTTTTCCAAATCAGACTTTAATTTTGAATACTTAACACTATTGTTGATGTGCATCTCACCTTCTTCATGCTTACTAAGAATATGTGATAAATGCTGCCAATCTTTGCACCCATTCTCATTTTTCAATTGATTTTTTCCTTCCCCTAAAAGTTTACAATACAGACAAAAAACAGAATCTTTTGAAGTTGAATAAAGTAACCAGGATCTAGTGGTTTTTTCACCATTTGGAAGAACTCGTGTATAGTAAGTTTCTGAAAATTTCCTCCCTGTACTGTCCTTTGGAAAGTTAAAATTTCTTACTTGAGGAGGAACATTTTCAATAACAGAGTCCCGTTGTTTAATATTCAGAATCCGGGGCCATGTACCTGGATCTGCAGAAAGCATAACTGGTACAATGGAGTCTTCTGATTTTTTTTCTTCCAGTTGCTCTTGAAATTTATCAGGTATAGATAACATTGAAGGTAAAGTCATATCCTGTTTGATTAGGGATAAATCTGAATTACGTTCCGCTGAAACTTGCAGTGCTAAAGTTTTTTCCTTTTTTTCTGGTATTTCCTCTATTTTTTCCACACAGATATCCAATGATCCATATAATCTTCTTTCATTTTCTATTCTAGGAGCATTCCTTTTTCTGTTTTCTGATGCAGACAATTTGTTAGAATCTGTTTCCATAATCTGGAGTGAAGTAGAATAGATCATCTTAGCACTGCTGACACTAAGAACCCAAAATAAATACATCTGCCCAATTATTACACTGAATGGTGCTCTTAATTGGTCATTAAAGAGGTACAAATCAAAATCATCACATGCCATTTCTTACCTACAATGATGCCTAAAATAAAAATATAGCAAGTGTTGGCAAAGCATGGAAAAAGTGCTATTTTCCTACCATGCTGGTGGAAATATAAAATGGCACAAATGACTTGCAAAGCAATTTTTCAATTCCTCTTAAGTTACTCTAGGAACCACCAACTTCAGGAGAAATGGTAAGCTACATCAACAGAGAGCTGTGAATCGACTTATTCATAACAGTCAAGAAACAGAAACAATTTAAAAATCCACTAGTGATAATTAAATAAAAACTCAAGATATATACAATTGTATTAGCCAATGACTTTTGTCAGAGCAGAACTTGAACGATGTAGAAATCTTAAACTCCACTACACAATGTAGTTTAAGAAAACTTTAAATGATAGATAGTAAATTGGGTAGGGCCCTGGTCTTGCACACAATTGATCCCCGGCACCCCATATAGTCCCTCAAGCACTACCAGTAATGATCTCTGCATGTGGAAAGCTTGGATTTGATCCCTGGCACTACATGTTCACCAGAGCACTACTTGGAGTGATCTTCTGGAACTATGACAGAGCAATACCTGAACTAAGCTATGTATAGCCCAAAAAGCAAAATTAGAGGATAGATGGGCAAAAAAAAATCACAGGAAATAATGGTATGAATATGAGAACACGAAACCCTATTTTACTCTCAATGCCCCAGTATTTATGCTGGAGTTTACTACTAAATCCACACAGAGATCCTGGAGAATAGAAACATGTATAATTAAATGTATCAGAAGCAACAGATTAATATTTAGTGTTTCAAATAAGAAATACACTTTAAAATAAAATACAAAATATGAATCATCATGAAATCTAGTTAATTAAACAGATATTTACCCATTTTCCCTTTTGACTTTTCTGGTGGATTCATTTCCAAGTAATAAAGTACTGTATTTGTTATATATTTTCCATTTAGTTTTAGAAATCATGAACTGACTTCCTCATTAATGGACTTCTCAATGAGAAAGATAAAAAATTTAATTCTCCTTCTTACTATTATTACCACAATTAGAACATAGCCACCTTTGGTTATAGGACTTAGAAAATAACAGTACTGAGAGCAGTGTGATATAGTACAGTTGGATAGGGCATTTGCTTTGCACAAGACCGACTTAGGTTTGATCACTGGCATCCCATATGGGCTTCCTGAACACGGCCAGGAGTAATTCCTACACACAGAGTGAGGTGTAGCTCCATGAGCATGGCTGGGTGTGGTCAAAAACAAAAAAAAAAAACCAAAAAGAAAGTCTCAGTGTCTTGGGCCATACCATTTATTGTGGTAGACATTACGGCGGTAGGTGTTAAGCTAGGCACTGAAAAATTGTTAGCAACATATCTGATCCCAACCCTACTGGATGTCAACTGAATTTTTCTAGACGCAGCCGCCAGGCTGAGCTGGGCTCGATTCCTCCGCCCCTCTCAGAGAGCCCGGCAACCTACTGAGAATATCTTGCCCGCCCAGCAAAGCCTGGCAAGCCACCCGTGATGTATTTCAAGATGCCAAACACAGTAACAACAAGTCTCATGATGGAGACATTACTGGGCCCACTGGAGCAAATCGATGAACGACGGGAGGACAGTGCTAGAGTGCTATAGACAAACATTTACAGTACAACGTCTTTAAGTTGTCAACTGCAAATTGATTCTCAGCACCACATATGGTCTCCAGAGCATCAGCGGAGTGATCAAGTCTCACTGGGTGTGACTCCAAGTCCTCCCCACTTCCACAAATAAGCTATAACTAGATTGTAAGACAAGCACCTTACCTGCTGTACTATTTCTTTGGATTAAAGCAAAACTTAATCTGTACATTACTATCAGGAGTGGCCCCCCCAAAAAAATAAAAGATAATGTTGTCTTGGAAAAGGATAGCTCTATATAATTTAGTGTTCTGAAAGACTCTCCAATAGAATATATGCACCTAGAAGACAGTGATAGTGATTAGTCTGACTCTCTGGAGGCCTCAGCTAATAGGTGCTTATGTCTTACGAAAATGGTCTAAAATAGAAAAAAAAAAAAAAAAAAATGCAAAAATTTCTCTACTGCTATAGAGCTCTTTTTTTTTTTTTTGGCCACATCTAGTAGAGATGTTTAGGGCTTACTCCTGACCCTGCTCAGGGAACCATATGGGGTCCCAGGGATCAAGCCCAGGCCAGCAGTCTGCAAGGCTAGCACTCTGCCAACTGTACTGTTACTCTGTCCCCTTAAAAATTTTTAAGTTCATAACTGCCTATACAAATCATCAGTACCTTATTTTTTCTGTACCTTTTCTTTGTCTTGAGAAGATCAGATGCACAAAAATCATTGTGTGGGGCTGGGAAGGTAGTTCAGGTGATAAACTACAGTTGACTACTGTTTTCTGAGCACTACCACGTGTGATCTCAAAGAAACTCCCACCCCCAAAAATAAATAAAACACTGTATTAAAATTTCCAACAGTATTAAGTACAGTATTTTGCCAAACAGATTTATAGCCCAGGAGCAGTAGGCTGTATTGTATAACCTAGTTGTGCTGTATGGTGTACTATAAAAGATTGATGTAACTGCATTCTGACATGCATATAACACAGTTGCCCAACACATTATACAGAACATAATTCAATGTTATTTTAAACTGTTATTTTCTGAAGAGCATTTCTTCATTTCACTGATAGAGCAATTCAGAAGTGCATCTTAAAAGAGTAATGTCATCCATGACTTTGTATTTCTCATGTAGTACATTGGTAGTTTGTTTACTGATATGCTTGGAGGCCTTTGGTTCTCACTATGACACACCACTAAAGTAGCCTTTGCTAAACGTTAATGACCAAATTTTAAAGGTACCTGTCGAGATGGCAAGCTAGGGCTGGGGTGAGGTGGGGGAGGGTAGGAGAGGGAACTGGGAACACTGGTGATGGGATCTGTGATGGAACATTGTATGTCAAAAACCCAACTAGAAATAACTTTGTAATTCATAGTGTTTTGATAAAATAAAATTTTGAGGGAGCTGGAGAGACAGCACAGCAGGTAGGCATTTGCCTTGCATGTGGCTGACCCGGGTTCGATTCCCAGCATCCCATATGGTCCCTGAGCACGGCCAGGAGTAACTCCTGAGTGCAGAGCCAGGAGTAACCCCTGTGCATCGCCGGGCGTGACCCAAAAAGCAAAAAGCAAAAAGCAAAAAAAAAAAAAAAAAAAAAAAAGAAAAAAAAAGTGGCTTTTGCACCCAAGGCTATCCTTAAAAGCCTTGAAACCTGGAAAGGGATAGTCTTTTTAGCATTTGTTTCCAGAATAGAGAAGTTTCATCCATATAAGATTTGTTCCAGCCAGAAATTTTCTTCCACAATTAGTTTATGTAGAGAATCCAAAAAAATTTTTAACAGCCTTCACATCATTGCTTAGAGACTCACTACTCACTATCACATTATGCAATGAACAATAACTGGTTTTGGGGGGAGCTTTTTTGGTCCCACCTGGGAATGGTCAGAGTTATTCCTGGTTCTACATTCAGGAATCAATCCTGGCAATTTCAGGACCAAATGGGATGCAGGGAATCAGACCTGGGTCAGCTACGTGCAAAGCAAACACCCTAAATATTGAATTACTTAAACCACCCAGAGCTAACAGTAAGTTCAACAATATAGTTGAGCCCAGTCTTTTCTTTCAATACTGCAAACAAACTTTTAGTGTTGGTTGTAATGATCATGGTGCGGAGAGATATGCTTCTATCTGGTCTTCAATCCAGGTGAACAGAAGTGTTTCTGTATCTGATATAGGGCCTTTTCAAATTTTTGTTAATCTTGTAGTTTTCAATGAAGGAGTCTTTAACAACCTCCATAACTTTATACTGGCTCTTCACAACTGTGGCTATTGGGGGTGGTCGAAGGGGGGAAACTAGGGCATTGGTGGAAGGAAATGTACACTGGTGAAGGGACTGGTATTGAAACATCCGATGACTGAAATCCAATCATGAACACTTAGTAAACACTCAACAAAAATTTTTTAAAAAATTTTACAGAAGAAAAGTGACTGTAGCTACGGTGGAATGCAACAAACCTGACTGGCGAGGAGTAGCTCACTGACTTTCCATTTTCCTATTATTTAATCACTTATAAATTTTATTTCCAGGTCAATCAATGCAACTGTTGCTTACTGACAAAATTAGTAGAGAACTTATAGACTTAGGGGACCTTGATGAACTAAAAAAGATGAGATTAAATCAAGCACAATGAAAAATGATACTATCAGACATGGCAGGTATAAGAGGTTACCAGGGTAAAATAATACATTACAATTTGCACTGGAGTTGTGGAACCACTGCCACAGTCTGACATTGAACAAAATACTATTCAGCTTAAAACTTTCTAATAAAATGAAGGTTTTCCACTGTGAAAAGGCCTGTTACTAATCATTTTTAAAAAATGCTAATGTGGTGATGGTGAAGCAGATTTATAGGGGTTATATGTAAGTTCTATTTCATAAGTTTTTCATAATATCCCTACATTTTCCTGCTGCTGAAGAGTTACTTTATATTATTGGGGCTGGAGCAATAGCACAGCAGGTAGCGCATTTGCCTTGCACGCAGCCAACCCGGGTTCAATTACCAGCATCCCATATGGTCCCCGAAGCACTACCAGGAGTAATTCCTGAGTGCACGAGCCAGCAGTAACCCTTGTGCATCGCCGGGTGGGACAAAGAAAGAAAGAAAGAAAGAAAGAAAGAAAGAAAGAAAGAAAGAAAGAAAGAAAGAAAGTTGCTTTACATTACTGATATGAGCATTGTAAAATGAACAGGCTTATTTTTAAGAACACAAATGCCAGGCAGGCAGTATAATTATTCAAAAAAGTCTGTGTACATGGTTGATATACATTTTGACTATATACATTTCCAATTTTAACCTCCTCTAAGTGTCAATTTAAGACTAAAATAATTGTACTCAATATATAAGCCTAATATTCTTCTGAGGATGACCATTTTTTTAATCTAATGTCTGACTCACTGAGGAGCCATAGAGATAGTACAATGGGCAAGGTGCTTGCCTTGCATGTGACAAACACATGTTCAACGTCCAGCACCTGTATGGTCCCCCAGCACTGCCAGGCAAGATCCCTGACAGCAAAGCCAGGAGTAAGCACTGAGTACCACTGGGTGTAGTTCAAAAATCAAAAACAAAAATAACTTTTAAATCACCTACGGGTATTTACTGTTTTTCAAAAATCTTTCAGGGTTACCTAAAATCCATATATCTTTATCTAATGATGAAAATACCCGCAAACTGCCGCTATGCCTAAGGCTAGACCCTAACAACCCGAGACCAAGTTTTCCAAGAAATTAAATAGCCAAAAGTTAGGTGTGTGGGAGCCACACCCACAAACCATTTCTGGCTCAGCTATACAAATAATAAATAATAAATTAATAAATAGGCCTCATTAATAAATAGGCCTTGCTTATAGACCCAAAAGTAAATCTCAAAAAACACCAAAAGCCATAATTAATCTCGGACCCACACAAGGTTGAACAGACCAGGGCAAATCAGATTGGGCGGGTCTGCTTGGTGCCCGCCCAAGCAGAGTCCCTGTTCCCACAGTTCAAAATGGCCACCTTGCTCATGGCCACACTCCACCATCTTAGAACAAACCTCACTGAGATATTAATCTGTTGAAAATTCGGGCATGCGGGTTTTGTGACTGGAATCTCCAGGCTTTCTCGGAGTTGGGATGGTCTACCTCCCTGACTTCCCTATACTACTGGAAGCACCACTAGTCACTCCCACAAACCAACTCCAACACCACCATGAAAGCTCTTCTACTGGTCTTGCTTCAGTGACCCATAAATAAATCTCAAAAGAGATCAAAAGCCACAGTTAAACAGTTAATAACAAGCCCGTACAAAGCTAAATAGACCAGGGTAAATCAGAAGGGAGCAGGTCAACCTGGTGTCTGCCCAAGCAGAGACACCCCTCCCCGCACCAGCCGCCTGCTCACATAATCCCAAATCACCACCATGTCCTGAATGGACCTCACTGAATTATAATGTGCTGAAAAATTTTCCAACTTAAATCTCCAGGCTTTGTCGGGGTCAGGATGGACTACCTCCCCCCACCACCCTCTACTTCTAGAAGCCTTGGCAGTCTAGTTAAATAAGCTACTCCAGCCTTATCTTCCTGATAAAATACTGAACGCCCGAAACACGATGACCTCTTGGTACCTGTATTGCTAACCATAATGCACAAAAGGAGAGAAAAGAAAGAAGAAAAGTGCCAGCCACAGAGGCAGGCTGGGGGGCGGGGGTGTTGGGGGATAGTGGGAGGGAAACTGACATTGGTGTTGAGATATGTACACTGGTGGAGGGATGGGTATTGGATCACTGTATGACTGGAACCCAATCATGAATAACTTTGTAATAGTCTATCTCAAGTAAACGCCCTCCCATTGATCATCGATTTGCTCGAGCAGGCCCAGTAAGGTCTCCATTGGAGACTTTGTTTTTACTGTGTCTGGCATATGGAATACGTCACCGGGAGCTTGCCAGGCTCTGCGGTGCGGGCGAGATACTCTCGGTAGCTTGCTGGGCTCTCCGAGAAGGGCGGGGGAATCGAACTTGGGTCGGTCATGTTGGCTGCATGCAAGGCAAGCGCCCTACCGAATAAAAAAATTAAAAAAATGAAAAAGCAAAAAAGAAAGGGGTAAACATGCTTCTGTTGGGGCACAGCGGCTAGGGCATTTGCTTTGCACACGACTGACCCAGGTTCGATTCCCAGCATCCCAGATGGTCCCCTGAGCACTGCCAGGAGTAATTCCAGAGTGCAGGAGCCAGGAGTAACCCCTGTGCATTGCCGGCTGTGATCCAAAAAGAAAAAAAAAAAAGCTTCTGTCAGGTGGCTAGAGAGGTACACAAAAATACAAGAATATTTTTGGTTTAGGGTTGGGGATAAAATTCTGGCAGAATATCAATCTTATATGTAATAGACCCTGAATTCAATACCCTGCACTATACATACATAAATTAAAGAATGGTTCTGTTTTTTTAAATTTTTGAGATGAATTTTAAATTCATCTCAAGTTCATTATTCTTTGCTGTGTTTTGCTTTTGGACTACACTCAGACGTAGGCGGGGGTAATTCTGGCTTGGAACACATTCAAGGCAAGGACTCAAGACAAGGAGTCACATCTGCAACCCTTGAATTAATTGTTGTATACAGGATCAAGGTTCATTAATTTTCAAAGCAATAGCAAAAAAATCTAAGCATTAACATTATTTATTTAAAAGGTTTGGAGGCTAAGTAAACCCAGCAAGGCACTTGTCTTGCACATGGCCAAGCAGGGTTTGATCCCCAGCATTCCATATGGTTCCCTGAGCACCACCAGGAGTGATTCCTGAGTGCAGTCAGGATTATTGATTATTGCTGGGTGTGGCCCCAAAACCAAACATTAAAAACATTTAAAAAAGGAGAGATCTTGCTTTATTAATGAAAATGATTCCATACCTTATTTAAAAACAACTACAGAAGATTCTTTTTTTGGAATGTTCATTCTATTGATATATTTACCCTTATATAGCCATAGCATGATTGGGATTCCTATTTTACTGAGGTACTAGTGGTAAAACTGTACTTATTTACTTACAATATATAACATGATGTATTAAGATTTCAAGTCTATGTTCATTGCACTATTATTCACAATAGCGAAAATCTGGAAATAACCCAAGTGCTAGAGAACAGACAAGTAGGTAGAGAAATTATGGTATATCTATGCCATGGACTACTACGCAGTTGTTAGGAAAAATAAAATTAGTAAATTTGCTTGGACATGAATGGACATGGAGAGTACCATGCTGAGTGAAAGAAAAGTCAGAGGGAGAGGGACAGACATAAAATGATTGTACTTATTTATGTGGGGGAAAAAAAGACAATAGAAACGAGGGCTAGAAAGACTGGTCCTGTGTAGGAAGCATCCCACAAGGTTAGGAGGTGGTGGGGTGGGACTGGTTAGGATAGAGAAGAAACCACTATAACAATACTAGTTAGAAATGGTCACTCTGAACAAGAATTGAATGCTGAGGGGAGGTAAAGTGGTGCTGAGTGGACTCCGGTGTCAGAGATTGAACCCAGGGCTCCCACATGCAAAACATGTAGGATGTGCTCAGTGGTGCTCAGTGAACTCTGGTGTCAGAGACTGAACCCAGGGCTCCCACATGCAAAACATGTAGGACGTGCTCAGTGAACTCTGGTGTCATGTGATTGAATCTGGGCTTCCACATGCAAAGAATTAGTCCAGCACTCTGAGCCCGTAAAAAAAAAAACAACTTTTTTTTGGTGTTATTCAGGGAAACTGCTGGGGATTGAACCCCTGTTAGCCGCATGCAAGGTATGCTGCATGCTGCATGCTGCATCTCTCTAGTCCCACAGGACAGCTTTAAGTCAAAAGGACAGTACCAAATTTTGATGACAATATGGTGCAACATGGACAAGTTGTCCATAAAAATATAAAATGTTAAGTATTATAATTACTTATAGGAGTAGAGATTAAAACCAACTTACAAATTATGATAAACTATCCACTGATTTCAATATTCACAAGAAATGGGACAGCATAAAGATAATAGAAACAAACTGGGGCAGGGCTGGAGGATAGCACAGTGGGCAGGGTGTTTGTCTTGCACGTGGCCGACCCCGGTTTGATGCCCAGCATCCCATATGTTCCTGAGCACCGCCAGTAGTAATTCCTGAGTGCATGAGCCAGGAATAACCCCTATGCATCACCAGGTGTGACCCTTTCCCCCTGAAATAAATAAATAAATAAATAAATAAATAAATAAATAAATAAACTGGGGGCCAGAGTGATAATACATTGGCCAGAGAGTTTGCCTTCTGCATGGCACATCCGGGTTCAATCCTCAACACCCCATAAAGCCCCCTGAGCTTTCCAGGAGTGATTGGCAGAGCCAGAAATAAGTCCTGAGCACCACCAGTGTGGGTTCCAAGAAAACCCCACAAACACAGGCTGCAGCAATACTACAGTGGGTAGGGCACTTGCCTTGTAGGCAACCGATCTGGGTTCAATGCCTGGTATTCCATATTGTCCCCCAAGAACCACAGTAATGATTTCTGAATACTAAGTCAGGAGCAACCCCTTTGGCTGGATGTGGCCCAGATACACACAAAAAAAATACATCAAACTAAATGAGATTCATCTATATTGTAAGCTAACAGTGGGAAATGATTGTATACTTGGCCATTTATTACTTCTATTAAAAATAATTACCTGTTTATATTCGTTAGCACAACCTTGGCAGCAAAATCTTGTCTGTTGACCTTCAATGGTCAGGACAAAGTTTCCAACACTTTTATTAGGCAAGTACTCTCCACACTGTTCACAGCAATTCATTGTTAAACCATTGGCCAATCTGTACTTATTAAAGCATTGGTTACTGCACAGTTTATGTGTTACATTGTTAACGCTGACTTCATGTCGAACCTAAAAGAAAAAACAGGACAAATAAGTATGCCAGTCGAGCAGAAACAAAGAACCTCCTGTAAATCTCAGTGAAAGAAGTATTCTAAGAAAAGATTGAAAGAGCAAATTTCATTAAAAAAAAAAAAGCTAATTTCATTTTTCTCTTAGTAAATTAACTCAGAAAAAAAAAGCAATACACTCGTATTAATTTTCTCAGAGACATTTAATTCTAGAAAATGGACTGGAGAGACAGTACAGTGGAAGGCGCTTTTCTTTCATTCCCTGGCTTCCCATACAGTCTCCTGAGCACCACTAGTAGTGATTTATGAGGGCCGAGCCAGGAGTAATCCAGAGCACTGCCACAAGCAGTGGGGGGTCCCAAAAAGCCAACAAAATAACAACTAAAGAAAGTGAGAGAGAGGGATGGAGGGAGAAAGAGGGGAAAGAGAGAGAAGAGAGGAGAGAGGGAGAAAAAGAAAAAGAGATAGAGAGACAGAGAGAGAGCGCGCGCGCGCCAGCTTGGTTTCAAATTTCACTGCCCCAGAAAACCTGTGCAAGGGGTAATGGTAGCGTTTTTATGTGTATACAATACCTCTCAACTCTTCACCCTATAGGGTAAGGGCTGTAACAATCCAAGGTGTGTGGTGGTGGCCTCGGGCACAATTAAGCAGGATTTCTGTTTATTCCCCTAAGACTGATTTATTGTTCGCTTTCAGGTCACACCTAGAGATGCTCAGGGCTAAGTCCTGGCTTTGTGCTCAAGGATCACCCCTGGTGATTCTTAGGGACCATATATAGTGTCAAGGATCAAATCTGGGTAGCCACAAGCAAGGAAAGTACCATGTCCACTATACTATCTCTGTGGTCCAAGAAAGTAGATTTTAGAAGGGTTGCTAAACAATTTTCTCCCCTAAAAGTATGTTTAGGAACTTCTGGGCAAAGGTCATCAATATTACCCATATTCAGTATGATATACTGTGTATATATTAAATAAAATAGTTCTTCCTTTCTTTAGCTTTGTTAACTGAAATAAAATTGAATCATGGATTTGCATGGCTTCAAAAGAACAATTTAGTAAGTATGAATAGTGAAGACTGCCGATATGCAAATTAATTTTGTTAGCAACTAGAAAGAAATGTGAAGTTATCAGCATACTTTCATTCCACTTGTTTTACATGATACTGTACCAGAATCATTTGCTTCCATGTTGAGACTACATTTTTATTTAGAATTACTATTAAAATCAAAATCCAACATAAAATGACTGTTTTGTTTGAGTACATCCAATTCTATGGGCTGAGTGGGGGGAAAAGATGTTTTACTTAACTATGTAAGTTAAATCATAATTCATATCCCAATTCTTTAAACTTTCACTGTACAGATTCAAGATGTGTATAATATAGATGGCAGAGCATATAACAGCACTCAAAGGTTAAAATATCTGTTAGTCTAGATAACAGTTATCTAAAATATAAAAATCCAAACCTCTGTTAGTTTACTACAGATTGTACATCTTGATTTATTTAGTGCTCTTTTTCTAATGTCCTGATTATCTTCATAGAGAGTTAAACAAGATGTACTAGAAAATTTCTGGATGGATTCAGTTGACTTCATTGTAGGAACCATAGGAGTTTTATTTGTAGGTGTGTCCCTGAAACAAAGAATAGATAACACTGCATTTTAATAAAGGAGAACTATATTAACAAAAACAGAGTTTTAATTCTCTCATACTCTACTGCTAATAATCCCCTGTGAGTTTTGGATCTAGCAAAAGCTAGCTTTTGGGTTTGTCAATCGTTAATAAATAGGAGCTGCCTGAAATTTATATGGAACAATAAGCCCCCACGAATAGCTAAAGCAATTCTTGGGAAAAAGAAAATGGGAGGAATCAACCTCCCGAACTTCAAACTGTACTACAAAGCAGTAATAATTAAAACAGCATGGTACTGGAACAAAGGCAGAACTGCAGACCACTGGAACAGGGTTGAATACACTGACATCTCTCCTCAATCATATGCTCATCTAATCTTTGATAAAGGTGCAAGTAATGAGAAGTGGAGTAAGGAAAGCCTCTTTAATAAATTGTGTTGGCATCACTGGACGGCTACATGCAAAAAAATAGGCTCAGAACTCTGCCTAACACCATGTACAAAAGTAAGATCAAAATGGATTAAAGACCTCAACATCAGACCAGAAACCATAAGGTACATTGAAGATAAAGTTGGCAAAACCCTCCATGACATTGAAGCTAATGGTATCTTCAAAGATGCCACGCCACTGGCCGAGCAAGTGAAAACAGAGATAGATAAATGGGACTATCTTAAACTAAGAAGCTTCTGCACCTCCAAAGAAACAGTGACCAAAATACAAAGACAGTCTACAGAATGGGAAAGGATATTCGCCGAATACACATCTGACAAGGGGTTGATATCCAGGATATACAAAATACTGGTTAAACTCCACAAGAAGAAAACATCCAACCCCATCCAAAAATGGGGCAATGAAATGAACAGAAACTTTCTCAAAGAAGAAATCCGAATGGCAAAAAAGCACATGAGAAAATGCTCTACATCATTAATCATCAGGGAGATGCAGACCAAAACCACAATGAGATACCATCTCACACCTCAGAGACTAGCCCACATTCAAAAGAACAAAAGCAACCGATGCTGGCGTGGATGTGGCGAGAAAGGGACACTCCTTCACTGTTGGTGGGAATGTCCACTGGTTCAGCCCTTCTGGAAAACAGTATGGACGATTCTCAAAAAATTAGAAATTGAGCTCCCATTTGACCCAGCAATACCACTCCTGGGAATATATCCCAGAGAGGCAAAAATGTATAGTCGAAGTGACATCTGCACTTGTTTGTTCATTGCAGCACTCTTTACAATAGCCAGAAACTGGAAGAAACCTGAGTGCCCAAGAACAGATGACTGGTTAAAGAAACTTTGGTACATCTACACAATGGAGTACTATGTAGCTCTTAGAAAAGATGAAGTCATGAAATTTACATACAAGTGGTACAATATGGAAAGTATCATGCTAAGCGAAATGAGTCAGAAAGAGAGGGATAGACATAGAAAGATTGCATTCATCTGGGGGATATAAAGTAACAAAGTAAGAGATTAATACCCAAGAATAGCTGAGATCAGCACCAGGAGGATTACTCCATAACTTAGAGGCCAGCCGGGTATCCTAGAGGAAAGGGCAGTTCAGATAGAGAAGGGAGCACCAAATAAAGGATGTTTGGAGGATCCTCCCAGGAGGGGAGATGCATGTCGAAAGTAGACTATGGACTGAACATGTTTGCCACTCAATGCCTCTTTTGCAGACCACAACACCCAAAAGGAGAGAGAGAACACAGGGGATTGCCCTGCCACAGAGACAGGGGGGATGGGGGGATGGGGGTGGGAGGGATATTATCCATGGTGGTGGAAAATGGGCACTGGTGGAGGGATGGGTATCTGATCATTGTATAATTGAAACCAAAGCACAAAAAATTGTAAATCTACAACTTTAAAAAAAAATAAAATACAATAAAGGGAAAAAAAAATAGGAGCTGGAGAGAGTGCCAAGGGTTGGAATACATGTCTTGCACATGAGAAACCAGTGATTAATCTCTGGCACTACGGGCACCATCCCAAGCATTGCTGGATCAGAGCAGATCATTTGTCCAAGTATCACCAGAAGTGTCCTCAAGGATTAAAGGTCCGCTTCTTAGGAAGTTAAAAAAAAAAAAAAGTCTCTAAATGTGGAAAAAAAAATATTAGAAGAGGGGCTGGAGAGAGAGTACAGTGGGAGGGTGCTTGCCTTATAAACGGCTGACCCGGTTTTGATCCCCCAGCATCCTATTTGGTCCTCTAAGCACTGCTAGGAGTTTCCTGAGTGCGGATCCAGAAGTAACCTCTGAGCATCACTGGGTATGCCCCTCCAACAAAAAAGTTGGGGGCTACAAAGATAGTATTGTGGACAGGGCAACTGCCTTGTCCAATTCTGGCACCACCAAGAGTAATTCCTGAGTGCAGAGTCAAGAGTAATCCCTGAGCATTGCTGGGTGGGGCCCTAGAACCAAACACAAAACAAATTTTTAAAAAATTATGTAAGCACAAGAAACCTGTTATAGAAACAATCCAAAGGCTGGTTGTGATTTGGGACAATTAAGAAGGAGGTGAGAAGGCAAAAGCAGTAGCAAGAAGATTTATCTGTACAACTTATATCCTTGTTTTCCTGCTTAAATTATACAATATGATGATCCCCACAGTTGACACTATCTAGGATATTTTAGGTTCAATAAACCTTAAAATACTGTTCCCAACAATGCTGTTTAGGAACATACACTGCTACTTGAGAACATACATATCAGTATTCAACCATAAGGAGTCACTGAAAAATATAGCTTACTTTTTACATATTACATTGCTCTTCTTGGGAATACGTTTATGAGAGAAAGAGGAAAGGCAGGTGGTAGAACAAAATAGGTGAACTGATCCTTTTCGTTGATAAGCAGTCTGTCCCTTCTGTAAAGGATTTTTGCAATGAGCACAAATGATTTTAGCTGGTTTAATACGTTGCTGTTGATCTGAAGGCTGGAAAATCTGTTTAGGAAGAGAAGCCACTGGTGCTAAAGAATCCACCTGTTCTTGCTTCTGATTACGGGGAAATAATGCTGACTGGGATATCCAAGAATCTTAAAGTAAAACACAAAAGAAAGTCATGAATAATTCAAATTCATACCAGAAATTAATTTGTACCAATAAAGACTAGGGAGAGGTAGTAAAACTGTATAACTGAGGTCAAGGAGCCACACTGCACAAGCCCTGGAGAACTGCACATTTTGAAGTATAAGTGAATGATACTCTTATGCACTATATTAGCCATCAGCATTTAAGTCTGAGTCCTAGGTTCAAAATCTATCTGTATCATGCTAGTACATATTACTGTATCTTCGTTTTCTCACCTACATGTTGACAATGATTTTGCGAGGTATTATGTCTGACGTGCAAAAGATTTGAAATAGTAATTTCTGTTATCTAAGAGTAAAGCATTAACTTAATATGGGATAAAGAAGAATACACAAATACCAAGACAAAGAGTCGTGTATATAACAACTAGCTTCTTTACAATCCAATTTCATAATTCATTTTCCTACCATTTTTATAAAAAAATGAATTTTACAAAGAACAACCATATGATCAAGAAGTAAATATTATTACTTTAGTATTCTTGTTTAATCTTCTTTTTTTGGGGGGGGAGGGGTGGTGGTTAGGTCATACCCAGCAGTGCTCAGAGGCTATATTCCTGGTTCTGAGTCAGGAATACCCCGGTGGTGCTTGAGAGAGCATATGTGGTGCCAATGATTTGTGCAAGGTAAGCACCTTAACTCCTGTGCTACCTTCCCAGCATCAAATTTTGGAAAAAAAATAAAGGGGGGGGGGGGAATCTGAACCAGATACAAAGCAAGCACCTTAACCCCTGCACCATTGTCCAAATAGAATCCTTTTTAAAAATGGGGTGGGGGTGGTTTGAGGTCACATTGGGTGTGCTAAGACAGTGAGTCCTGATAATGTTTTAGGGGACCATATATAATGCCAGAGATTAATCAGGGTCCACTGCAAGGCAAGTGCCTTAAATCTGTACTCTCTCTAGTACACTAAAATATCTTTTTCTATATTTTGAGGGATTAAAAAAACAATTTCCTTCCAAAATACTCCAACATAAATAATTTCAACAATTGTTCAGTGATTGAACAAGTGTTCATTATAGAGGTGGTAGATTACTTAGAAAGACTCAGTTTTCCAAATTCAGACATGGACTCCTCCAACACATATTACTAGTTAATCAGGAGGGTATTTTTTATGAAGTCATAGTGCTTCTCAACATATGACATCATTGGGGAATCTTGTTTAAACAGATTCTAGAAGAGGAAGTCTGAAGTAGGAACTGAGATCCTGCACTTCTAACTGCTGGGTAGACTAATGAATTATTCTGTTATCTCTTGAAAAATTGTTTCTGGGGCCAGAGAGATAGTACAGAGTGTATTGCCATGGGGCAAATGCAGGTTTAATCCCCTGCACCATATATGGTTCACCAAGCCCTCCAGGAGTGACCCCTGAGCGTTGCTGGGTGTGGCCGTAAAACCAAAACGAAAAATTGGTTTTATGACTAGCATGAAATATAAGGCCTTCTACCTATCATAGCTTGCTCTGAAAGTCTTTTTATAATACTGCTAAAACTAACGACTTTATTTTCATTTCCAACCTCCTATTCAACAGCTTCTAATATATTCCTTCTTTTTTCATTTTCTTTTTTGCTTTTTTTGGGGTCATACCCGGCGATGCACAGGGGTTATTCCTGCTCTGCATTCAGGAATTACTCCTGGCAGTGCTCAGGGGACCATATGGGATGCTGGCAATCAAACCCGGGTTGGCTGCATGCAAGGCAAATGCCCTACCCGCTGTGCAATCTCTCCAGCCCCTAACATATTATTTTTAAGCACCTTTATTTACAGGCTGGAGCCATAGCACAGTGGGTAGGGCATTTGCTTTGAATGCAGCTGACCCAGGTTCGATTTCTCCGGCCCTCTCGGAGAGCCTAGCAGGTTACCCGTGATGTATTAAATATGCCCAAAAACAGTAACAAGTCTCACAACAGAGATGTTACTAGTGCCTGCTCGAGCAAATTGATGAACAAAGGGAGGACAGTGCTACTTTTATTTATAGGCAAAAAGAAATCAGAATAAACAAAAAAGAGATTTCTTTCCTTTTTGGTCACACCCTCAATCCTCTACAGAACAACCTACATTATATTCTTTCTGTAGTCAAACTTTCCTACTTATCACCTAGATAATAACCTAGGTGGTTTTTTTTCTTTTTTGAGGGTGGGCATACCCTGAATCACTTCTGATGGGGCCTGGGGACCATATGGGGTTCTGGGAATAGAATTTAAGTCTGTTGTATGCAAGGCAATATACAAACACACTTACACTACTGCTCTGCCCCTACTTCTCTTAGGTGTGCTTTGAGTCACACCTGGCTGTCTGCACTTAGTGTTTCCCCCTGGCTATGTGCTCAGGGTTCACTTTCTGGTGGAGCTCAGGGGAACATATACAGTGCTGGGGTTTAAATCTGAGTCAACTGTATGCAAAAGAAAGCACTCTTGTGGCCCAATAAAATCTTTCACAATGAATTATTTGCATGACTACCAGCATCACACACACACACGAAATTCCCATTATCTTAGAAACCTTCCTAATTTTCTCACTTGGTAACTTCTTTTCCTATTTTAACTTCAAATATTTTTAAATTTTGACCTTCATTATCATCATAAATTACATAAAACTATATTACAATTTTTTGTAACTAGTTTTGTTAATTTAACATCTTGCATGGCTTAGTCACACTTACATGCAACAGTTCATTTTTTCATTGTTAAATATTTGATCATGGGGGATGGAGCGATAGCACAGCGGGTAGGGCGTTTGCCTTGCACGCAGCCAACATGGCCGATTCCCAGCATCCCATCTGGTCCCCCGATCACTGCCAGGAGTAATTCCTGAGTGCATGAGCCAGGAGTAACCCCTGAGCATCGCCGGGTGTGACTCAAAAAGAAAAAAAAAAAATTGATCATATAGCTAACATTCACTTTATTTTTAAACATTTGAATTATTTCCGATTTTTGGTATTTTTGCTATTTTTCAGCCACAGCCAGCAGCGTTCAAGGATCACTCCTGATAGTACTTAGGAGACTATTGGCTGTACCAGGGACAAACCAGGGTGAGCTGCACGTAAGGCAAGCACCTTAACCCCTTTACAATCTCTGACACCTGAGTTTTGAAAAGTTATTTGGGGAATATCTCAGTTAGGATTCACATATCTGGAGTTTGCAGGTTAATGTTTTTCTCCATTTTAGAATATTCTCATTCCCTTTCTCATTTATTTCCTTCTGTTTAATCATATGACAATTGATTCATCATAATTAATTTACTAGCATCCCTCCTTGTGGTTTGTAAGTCTGTTTTGAAAGCTCGACTGAAATGTTAGTCCTTCCCAGCAGACTTTTCTGGAATTGGTAAGGTAAAGGTAAGGTAAAGGTAAAGGCCCTCCCGTTGATCGTCGATTTGCTCGAGCTGGCCCAGTAACGTCTCCATTGGAGACTTTGTTGTTACTGTGTCTGGCATATCGAATACTCTTGGTAGCTTGCCAGGCTCTCCGAGAGGGGCGGAGGAATCGAACTCGGGTCGGCCATGTTGGCCGCTTGTAAGGCCAACGCCCTACCGCTGTGCTATCGAATTGAATACTACAAGATAAAATATTCCCAAAACATAGATCACTTCTTGGAAGCTCCATTTCTCATATCTTAAGAATTTGAGGGGCTGGAGCGATAGCACAGCCGGTAGGGCGTTTGCCTTGCACGCGGCTGACCCGGGTTCGATCCCTGGCATCCCATATGGTCCCCTTAGCACTGCCAGACGTAATTCCTGAGTGTAAAGCCAGGAGTAACCCCTGAGCATTGCTGGGTGTGATAAAAAAATAAATAAATAAATTTTTCACTGTATTTGTAGCACTTATGATGCTACCAGTAGCTATTTTACATATTTCGTCTCCCATCTACCCCCACCACTCCAGCCCCTAAGCACTGTAGGAGATTTAAAAATTACCCTCTCGGATAATATAGGGGATTAAGGTGCTTGCCTTGCACCCCTCTGTCCTGGTTTAAATCCCTGGCAACACTAGAGGTCACTCCTGACTACGAGTCAGGAAAAGCTATTAGCACCAATGCATGTGGCCAAATCTCCTCCCCCCCCCCACCCAAAAAGAACTGTGGGGACCAGATAGTTTAACAGCTGAGTGCCTGCAAAACATGCTTTGCAGGTAGGAGGTTGGGTTCCATCCCTGGCTCTATATGAACCACAAGGAGAAGCCCAGCACCCAAACATCACTAGGCAGAACTCCTAACAAGAAACAAAAATTACCAAGTAACATGGGTGAAGAGGTATATTGTAAAGGAGTTTGAGTCAACGTCTAGCATATGACTGACCCTGATTCAATCCTCGGAACCCACAGACTCCTGAGCAGCACTGTCTCCTGAGGCAGGGCTCTTACACTGAATACTGGCCTGGTTGGCCAAGAATTGCCAAGAGGGGGCCCCCGGCTACTTAATCATTGCTTGGGAAGTCCTACTCACTACAACTTATTAGAACTGGAATACCCCAGAATTAATATCGTGGCCAGATATGTTCAAAAAGCAAGAGAAATACAACACAGGTGCAAGAGCAAGTTCTATGTTTAAGTACTCTGTGTGAAGAGATTTTTGCTGTTTATAGATATGTGACAAGTAGAGAATTTTCAGCAAAACAAAGTTTACTCTAAAGGTTAATGGAAAAACAATGCAAAGGTCCATTCTCAAGGTCATAGTTCTATTTTAATAAGATGAAACATATATCTTATGCACAGTCACAATTTTTATGAGTCCTAGATTTAAATAGAACGCAACTCTAGAAAACCTCATGTTGCACATATGTATTTGTCATTTTCCTGAGCTGCAACTTCAATTTCTACAAGAAGTACATAGTAACTAAAGTAAGATACTTAAGCAGAGTTTTGATTCTAACAATTGTTGCTAAATTATTCTAAATAAATAAATTATTCTCCTAAAGAGCCTTGAACATAGCACTTTCTTAAAAATCTC